AAACCCATTAGAAAAGGCAGCCTACCCATTTATTCAGTCGTCTGATGGGGTGCTCAGACTACTGGACCACTGGATATTCCCTTCATTATGGACCCATTATTGACATTACTCTTGCTTCAGGATTATTCTTGATATCTAGTAAATGATGCTTTTCAAGACTGAATTGGGCTCTTCGTGGCCTCTGCAATCTTATTCCCCATTTTCAACCCTCCAAAGAAATACACTTACTGGATGTTGATGAGATGTGGCTATATATGATTTCTCCATGAGTATCTATACACTTCTTTAGAATTCTTTATTTTACTGTCTCTAAAAATTTTTTTAAATATTCTTCAGAAAGAAAGAAAGAAAGAAAGAAGGAAGGAAGGAAGGAAGGAAGGAAGGAAGGAAGGAAGGAAGGAAGGAGAGAAAGGAAGGAAGGAAGGAAGGAAGGAAGGAAGGAAGGAAGGAAGGAAGGAAGGAAGGAGGAAGGAAGGAAGGAAGGAAGGAAGGAAGGAAGGAAGGAAGGAAGGAAAGAAGGAAGGAAGGAAGGAAGGAAGGAAGGAAGGAAGGAAGGAAGGAAGGAAGGAAGGAAGAGAAAGAGTGGCTTAGCCTTAGCAATCTGCCTAAACAATTGGAACCTAAGCCAGAGCCTATGCACTACCAACTGAAAAAAATAAAAAGCTATGAAGCCTGAAAGATAATAAAGAAGGTTGAGCCCTTGCATGTAGCCAACCTGGGTTTGGTCCCCAGCAGCCTGTATGGTCTCCAAGCCCATCAGGAGTGATCCCTGAGCACAGAGACAGGAATCAGCCCTAAGCACTGCTGGGTGTGGCCCAAAATAAAAAAAAAATGTAAAGAAGAGAAAGGAAAAGAAAAGAAATCTCAACTACAAACAATAAAGCAGCTCACTAATGTTCCAATAAAATAAAACAGCCCACTTGTTCCCAAATAAGGCAACTACTTAATCTAGAACCAATTGGTTAACTTTCTTGCTTTGCCTTTGTTTTCCCTAGAAAACTTTTCTCTTAGATCCTATTGATATGATGTGTTCCTAATAACTTAGTGCCTGCACTAAATTGATATTTGCTCACATAAATTCCTGACAATTTTAATATGCTTAATTTTAGTTTTTAATAGTTCAAATCCTGCTCACTGTATATTAAAGATTACTCAAACCTTATTACTATCTTGGTCAGACAACTCCTATTCCTATATTTACTACCATAAGCCCAGATCAAGGTTTTGTAACTCAGAAAGCAAACTATGCTGATCACAATGACTATGATAGTGATGATAGTGATGATGAGGAGGAGGATTTTAATTATAATGATTGATACTAATACAAAACTCACTAGAAAATATTATGCTGAACATTTTATAGCCATTAATCATTACATCTTATTATCTCATTCCTATATTATGGCTTTGTCCCTCTGCCAGTCTGTCTCGGAAGATGCTCGACTCCAATTCGAGTAGGCTTGGAGGTCTCGGCCCCGGAACCCGCGTGGCTTTGTCCCTCTGCCAGTACCTTCAGGTGTGCGGAGAGTGGTCTCAGCATGGTGGTGGCTGGTCCTGGAGGTCTCCGGCTGCCGTAGCCCTGGCCGGGGCTACATGTAATGATTAATGGCTATAAAATGTTCCGGGATATATTATATATATTATATATTATAGCCATTAATCATTACATCTTATTATCTCATTCCTACTTTGGACAAACTTGCAGGCTGTCGAATGTAGCCTGCCCACAGGGCAGAGTCTGGCAAACTCCCCGTGGCCTACCAAATATGCCAAATACCAGTAACAATGATGGGTCTCATTCTCCTAAAGAGCCCTGAATATAATCTCAGGGCTAGGATGAAAGAGACGTTACTGGGGCCTGCTCGAGGCAATCAACGATTAACAGGATGATGAAATGAAATGAAAATGAAATCATTACAATCTTGCTTTGATAAATGTACTACTATTATTATAGCTTTAGTAATAGATAATCTGAGACAAGAGAGATTGCTTAATAAAAGACGCAAATTACATATGGCAGGGCACAGTATACTTATATCGACTTTAAATTCTTAAGACGATGTATTTAATTTCTGATCTTTTTCTTTGTTTTGTGTAGTATGTCTATTAAATGAATGAATAACATCAAGTAGAGAATATCTGAGGATAAAGTAAATATTCCCCAAATAAGATTAATAGAATGTAAAGGAATAGATCAAATAAAAAAAATAGCAAACCCCAGGTAGTCCATAACTAGAAAAGCAAAAATCTGTATCCCTAGATCCCATGGATGGGGGGAATAGTAATGGCAGGGATGCAGTAGATGAATGTAATTTTTATATTTTGCGCTTTGTGGTATTGAAACATCCTTTATGATTGTGGGCTGGCTACTAGCAGCAATTTTTTTCTGATATTTAACTTGAAAATAGCAACAAGACCAACAGCCATAAAGCTGGCTCATTAGAGTCACTTAATCCCATCATCATGACTGTTGCCTGAAAAATTGTTGAGGACTATTATTTTAGGATTTAATTTTTAAATAATCAAAATTGTGTGAAAGGAACACTGCAATGTACATAAATTTGTCATCTGTTAGTTCTTTTGATTTATTCTCCGCATGATGCTCCTCTGCCATATACGTTTCCTTATCACTTTTCAGACTTCTTAACACTCTCTTTTTCCTTTAAAAAAAACTAATTTCCTTCAAATTCATTCCTCCTTTTGCTTGTCCTAGTCATCATGAATAAATTGTGTATGTATGAAGATGTCAGTGTATACGGATGAACGATGTGAATCAGAATATATTAAACTGACACTGTCAGTCTTCTTTCAACACCAGCCTCACAAGCATAAATTTCCTTCTTTTTTTTTTTGAAAATATCTTCCTACAAAAAAGCTTTCTTAACTACTGAAGAGTAGTTGTGTGGGATTTTATTACACAGAAGTGTCAAAACTTGCAATTTAATACCCAAGCAGAGTTTTCTGCCTAGAAAAGTTTCAAGAACATTTACCTTAATGCCTGGGTGGACGGGGTCACTTGGTGCCAGCACATGAGGTCAGACACAGATGGTGCGGGGGAGATCAGCAGCGGAGCATTTATTAAGTCCTTGCTTAAGTTTTAGCTTTCACTACACAGTAAGAGGGAATTGTCCTGGATGAAAGTAACTCTCACATATAATGCACTTATACTTAAGAACCAAGATTCTGTATATGAAAAATTCTAAAGTAATAATCTTCTGAGTAAGTATTAGCACTGTAGCACTGTCCTCCCATTGTTCATTGATTTGCTCGAGCGGGCACCAGTAATGTCTCCATTGTGAGACTTGTTATTGTTTTTGGCATATCGAATACGCCACGGGGAGCTTGCCAGGCTTTGCCGTGCAGGCAGAATACTCTGGGTAGCTTGCTGGGCTCTCCAAGAGGGGCAGAAAACCCGAACCTGGGTCGACCACGTGCAAGGCAACCGCCCTACCCGCCATCCTATCAGTCCAGCCTGAGTAAATATTAATAGGTTTAAAATATGAACATAACTGGAGATATAATATAGTGAGTAAGGTGCCTGCTTTACACCAGGTCAACCTGGGTTCAATTCCCAGCAACCCATATGGTTCCCTAGGTCCTGCCAGGAGTGATCCCTAAGTGCAGAGCTGGAGTAAATCCTGAACCCCAAAACATAAAAAAAGAAACAGAAAATAATTCTCATGAAGTTAATTTTACTACATAGTAAACAGTAAACCTTTGTGCATTCTTCCCAAATCTCTCTTAAATATTGAGTTTTCATCTTCTAAGTGGGCTGGAGCGATAGCACAGCGGGTAGGGCATTTTCCTTGCACGTAGCCAACATGGCTGATCCGAGTTCGTTTCCTCCGCCCCTCTTGGAGAGCCCGGCAAGCTACCGAGAGTATCTCGCCCACATGGCAAAGCCTGGCAAGCTACTCATGATGTATTCGATATGCCAAACACAGCAACAACAAAGTCTCCAATGGAGATGTTACTGGGCCCGCTCGAGCAAATTGATGAACAACGGGAGGACAGACAGACTTCTAAATAACATTGAGATAAATTATCTTACCCTTTTCAAAAATCTCCATTTTGAGGTGTCTGACTGCACAAGTGTTTCTCCTTATAAAATTCTGCAGAATGAAAGAAAAGAAAAATGAAGTATGTCCTTTATTTTTAGGACTTAAAAATGTTCCTCTGTGTGTGAAATTTCTATTTTTTTAACTTTTTCATTTTTGTTTCTTTTCATTATAATTGAGGAAACATAATTAAAATAGTGCCAACATTTATGCTTTTGGTAAACAATATTACTATACTTTCACCATTACCAAGGTGCCAAAAACCCTCCACCATCTCCTTATGAGGTGACCTTTGCTCACCCCTTCTTCCAGCAGTGGATACTTAGCTTGCTTCCAAGTCTTGGCCAATATAAATTATACTACAATAAACTTAAGAGTATATATATTTTTGCAGGTTTCATTTCCCTCAAATAAATACCTTGCAATGGGATTGGTGGATGGTATGTTGATTCTAACTCGACAGGGATGAAGTCGTATCCTTTTCTATTCCAAAGCAATAAATATTGGTGTTCCACCATGCACTTTATCTTTGTAGTACTCAGAATGTATGTTTTGGTTGAGCTGTACTAGCCAAAAGTAGAGAAGCTGGTAAGAACAGATGCCTGTTGTAAATAATCAAAACCAATGCATGCTGAATGAATATCAGCTATGCTCAAAGCAGATAGTAAAATATGATAATATGTAAACACTATTATAGAACTTCCAATATTTTTCTCTAGTTTTCTGTTTATATATGACTCTGGTAATCTGTGAGATCATTGCGGACAACAAGAAGGTCATAAGCACCTTGGTAATCTTGTTTTGCATAGTTTCTTGATACAAAAGACCCTATAGATATGAATTAATAAAAATCTATATTGATGGAACTGCCTCAAAAATCCACTTGTTTGAGGATGCAACTGTCCCAAAAATAAAATTAAATCATTTTCTGTTGCTTCATAGTGTGAAACACTGCAAACTCATGAACAATGAATTCACTTCACTCATCCTATTGGAATACCTCTGCTGAACTTTTGAACAAATCCTGGAATAAAGAGTTTGCTTATAAAACACTCAGCATTGTGGATACAGTCATCCTACCTTCCATGATTGGAATCATCTGTTCAATGGGGCTAATTGGCAACATCCTCATTGTATTCACTATAATAAGGTAAGGACTTTAATTTTCCTATAATTTAGGAATATCCCAATCTCCTTAAATGAATTCTTTTCTTCCTTAGATTTTTCTTAATAATATCAGGATTGGGGTATATTGTATTAAAATAATTAAAGAATATTTTATGTATATTATTATAATCTGATAATATATAAGGTATATTTCAAAATAATAAGACATTTGGGACTGAAGAGAGTGTAGAGCAAATAGGGAACTACCCTTGTACATGACAGATCTAGATTTGATTGCTGGTACCCTATATGGTTCACCAAGTCCTGCCAGGAGTGATCCCAGGAGTATGCCCTGAACACAGCTGTGTAGCCCAAAAAATAAAAACAAAAATAACGATAAGACTGGGCCAATTAGTGAATTTTGGGGGGGGGGTCACACCCGGCATTGCACATGGGTTACTCCTGGCTCATACACTCAGGAATTACTCCTGGCAGTGCTCAGGGGACCATATAGGATGCTGGGAATCGAACCCAGGTTGGCCACAGTACAAGGCAAGCACCCTACCCGCTGTGCTATTGCTCCAGCCCCAATTAGTGAATTTTAAAAATAGATACTCTAAATCTTAGTTGTGCATTAGAACCACTTGGGAGTTCTTTTGTTTTGTTTTGGTTTGGTTTGGTTTTTTATTTTGTTTTATTGTAAAATAATATGGGGTCACTAGGAATAGCTCAGTGGTAGATGCCTGTCTTGCAATTTTGCTAGGCTTTGACTTCTATCCCCAGTGCTACCCCTCACATAAAGGACAATCCCAGTGGTACTGTGGTTTGCAATCCCTAGAGCCACACAAAGTGAGCAGTCTCCGTCACACTACAACCATATATGCAAATATGCAAATATACAGAAGCCAGTGTGTGTGTCCTCTGATCATTGCAAGAAAGGGAAGAGGGAAAAACAAATTTAAAATCCTATATAACATTTTAACACAGATAAATTAAATCAGAATCTCTAGAGATGGCGTTAGGCAAGGATTGAAATTACAATAAAACTATTTTACTATTCAGTAATACGTTGATCTGATTTAGCTGGTGAAAGACCCTCAGCTGGGAGCTGGCAGGGAAGTGGGGGGCGGGGGAGAGGGATTGAGGTGACGTATTTACAATGGTGTTAAATTATGGTATATACAGTTACTGCCCCTCCATTTTACACTTATTTGGGAAAGAGAGAAACTACCTGACACCCAATTATTCAGACAGTCACAGATGGTGAGCTGTTCCCTCAATATAGACCAGTCCTAAATCTCCTTCCTCTTCTCTAATCTCATTTGGAAATTTCCTTCTTCTCAAATCTACAGAATAAATAACCTGGATAATAAAAAGAGATTATAGCAAATTCTCAGTGTTGATAGGTTCTTGGAATCTGCTAATTAAAGAAAAAAAACATATCATAATGAGGACAAGTCCTCAAATAAAGGTTTAGTTCAATGTCAACTATGATTTTCTTTCTCAACATTATAGGGGGAAAAGTCAACACTGAATTTCATGCAGGACCTATTGAACTTGTTTTTCACTGACCTGTCCAGTTGATTTAAAATTAACATGCATGCAGCTCCTTCACTGCTTGATATCGTCACTATTTTATTTTCATATTAACTTTTACTTATTTTAATCAACCCAGATTATTAGCCCTTCAGAAATGGTAATAATTTTACAAGCAACTTTTGTATGAAACGTTTTATCAGCATTGGGCTTCAGACCCTATAACAAATTATCAAAGACATTTGAAGTCAGATAAACTTCTTGGTCCTTCTCCTGTTAGGCCAGTAGAACAACGTTTGATCCCATCTACTCATATGGAGACAAAGTTGGAGAAATTCATGTGCAATATAAACTGATTTAAAAGTCAAACTATTATAACTAATTCATGAAAACAGAATCTCAATCGCATGCAAATAATTATATAATTGAGAAAGGAAACCTTAGCCATCACACTGACAGATCTATTTTCAATGACTGTGAAAATTCTGCTTTTACTCATATCATTAACATTTTATACATAATATGTGAAGTAATATATGTTAAATGTTAATGAAGCTTTGAGGATAAATCTTTTAATCTTTAAAAGAACATCTGGGAGCAACTCAAATTTTTTTATTGCCAGTATATTTTCTTTGTAAATAGCTCTCCAAAACTCAATGATTTTTTTCAGAAGTCATTAGTAAGGAAATTAATTTTAATATAAAGAAACTTAGAATTTTTCTAATTTGTCTTGAAAATTTCAAAAAACTTTAAGGTGATTTTTATTAATATTTTGATTATATTTGCTATAATCCTTTATTTGCTTATTCCCATTTTTCTTTGGTTGGTTTATTTGGTTTTGTGGCCACACCAAGTGGTGCTCAGGGCTTACTCCTGGCTCTGTGCTCAGGGATCACTCCTAGTGGGGATCAGGGGAACTAATGATGCTAAGGATCTGTCGTGTGCAAAAAAATCCTACCTTTTGTACTATCTTTCTTATCCTTATTATTTCTTGACAATTGGCTGACTCAATTAAAACCACAGAATGAAAAATATTTTATACATTTGAAAAAAGATTTAATTATTTCCCCATTTATAATAATGAAGAGAAGGAATACTTGAGCTCATTACTGATGCTGGGAAGCAGCAGTGAACTAACTTCTAACGTTGCAAAAGAGAGACGCAGGGGGCTGGAGTGATAGCAAAGCAGGTAGGGTGTTTGCCTTGCACACAGCCGACCCTGGTTCAAATCCCCGCATCCCATATGGTCCCCTGAGCACTGCCAGGAGTAATTCCTGAGTGCAAAGCCAGGAGTATCCCCTGAGCACCACCGGGTGTGACCCAAAAAAGCAAAAAAAAAAAAAAAAAAAAGGAGAGAGACTACAGGCATGCATAGAAAAATAGATGTAGAGAAATGAATGTTTCCAGAATAAGATGTTCTATTAGCTTTTTTTTTTAAAAAAAAAAAAAGCAAGAAGTTCCTGTGCACTAGGAGGTTGACTACAGAGAAACCAGATCATTACCAGTCTGTTCCACTTCAAATTTATAGCTTGTCAAAGGAAGTCAGTTTAGAAATATAGGAAGAAAATTCAGCCAATTATAACATAATATTTCATCCTTCTTGTCCCAAGAGAGAAACTAATAAACTCAGTTCTATTACTCAACTATTCTCCTTAGCCATAGTGGCGCATGGGAAACTACTGCAATAAATGAGGTGAAGTTTTATCTTAGACAGTTCCCCACCTCTACCTCCTGAATGCATATTTCTCCTGTCTACTGGCAGACTTCTTCAAGTGGACGGAGAAACTCTCTATGGAAAGCCCTAAGTTTCCCAAAGTTAAAAAAAAAAATCCTATCATGACATTTCCTCTGTCATCTCTCTGTTAAATCTAGTAATTCTCACAATGTTATGAATTACTGAAACACTTTACTTTTTAACTCTCTCAATTCTGTATTCATTTTATACAGAAATCATAGGGACCAGAGCAGTAGTACAGAAGGTAGGATACTTGCGTTTGCATGCAGCTGATCCAGATTCAATTACCAGCACTCCATATGGTCCCCTAACCCCACTATGAGTGACCCTTGAGTGCAGAGTCAGGAGTAAACCTTGAGCATCACCAGGTGTGCCAATCACCTTTCCCCCTCACTGCCCCCCGGCAAAAAAACTGGATAGAAAGAAATGAAAAGAGGAACAGAGTGCTAATCTGAAGAGTACTGATGACCTAATGATGGAATATCCAGTTGCTGAAACAGACAGGGAGGGGGAGTGTTTAAAAACAAAGCTCTTCCTTTTCCGCCACTCAGTTTAAATCCATATTAATGTTTGTCTCTAAACCATACCTCTATTATGGTCAGTGTTGGCCACACAAAAGCTACACTTTGGATTGACCATACCCTTGCTACACACATATCCTAGATGCTACTAAACTCAGTTACAACTACTCAAATGAACTGAAAAAAAAAAATTGCAGAGAATCTCTGTTGTTCAAGTTCAACGATCAAGACAAAACTAAAATCTATAAAGGTTAAATACTCTGTCCAAGGACATTATAAATGAAGGCACAAAAATGAAACCAAAACTTCCAATTAGGTTTTCTTTCCACCACATTACACAGTGTGCCTAGAGCAGGGTGAGTGATTTTATCATTCTACTCTAAACTCTCCAGTCCTTGGGTAATCTCAAATCATGCCCATCTGTAGTAACAACTGCATGAAGACTCAGAATTTCCAGCACATTGCATCAAGAAATAATTACTCATTTATTTTAATTGATTCACAATAAGGGTCAGTGAGACAACACAGGGATAAACCAGAGCAGAAAGTTAGTATCACATCTTACCACCACCACTTCTAACACTAGTGCTTCCACCTTCTGATCCTGAGCTACAAGGGTGGGGCGGGGGAGGGGGGAAGGGATGATTAGTACATGCCCCAGGAGTCAAGAATTCCTTGTGACAACTCTAGCCACAGAGAGATCTGGGACCAAGAAGTCAGAGCTGCAGGAAATAGTTAGAGCCATGAAAGGGAGGAAGCACCTACTAGAAAGTCAGCAGCAAAGAAGGGAAGAAAAAGAACTGACTTCTCTTCCCCATTAATCCTCCAATTTTCCTTTACAAGTTCTTCCTATTGGCTGAACCTAGTCTAAAGCCAGTTGGCAAAAGAAAATAAGAACAAAACAGGGGAAGCATAGGAAGTAGATGTGGGTGCACGGTGCTGAATAAATGGTGCAATGGTTAGTTTTATATAATCCAGAGTACATGTTTTTGTCTAATTATAAAAAGCAAATATATTTAATAGAATCTTTAACATTAAATTTATATTGAACAGGGCCAGAGCAATAGCACAGTGGGTAGGGTACTTGCCTTCCACACGGCCAATCAGGGTTTGATTCCCAGAATTCCAAATAGTTCCCTGGAGCCCCATCAAGAGTGATCCTTAGCACAGAGTCAGGAGTAATCCCTGAGCACTGAGGGTGTGGTCCAAAATAAGTAAATAAATAAATAAATAAACTTACAAAGAATAAAGTTAAAAATCCAGCATGGTACTACCACCAAACATGCATTCACTTGATCACTTGAAATACTATTTCAACATGTTTGTAATCAAGTGTGTAAAATGCATTTAGGATTGTGCTATACAGACATGGTTGTTATTTTTTTTTACTTAAATATTTTTCTACTTGATTAAATATTCTCGTATTATGCATTGTAACAACTGTATGGCATTGCAATTTATTTTATCATTCCTCAAATTAGTGAGCATCAGATTGGCATTGTTAACCATATGGAAAAATGTTAAATAAAACGTTCACTTGTTACTTTCTTTTTTAGTATTAGAAGAGTTTGTTCATGAAAAACAAATCTAATAATGTTTCTCTGGAAATAGAAAATTAGAAGACAATTTGGACCTAATTTTAAAATGCAAGTTTTATACACAGAATTTTATCATTTTTATTTTCTTTTTATTTCTGTGCGGTCACTTTCAGTGAAGAAAATCAAGAAAATATAAATGATATCTTCTATCCTAATGCCTTTTGCCCTGATAACAACATAAATTTGCTTGAGAATTCTTTTTTTCCTACACAGAATATCCTCTAGAAACACCCCTATTTAATTTTTTTAATTACCAGTTAGTGACCTGTTCTGTCCTCTACAATAGCATTACCATAATTTGTTCCCCGTAAATGATGGGTGTCTCTCCAGACAAGAGCAAAGGCCAGGGATGTAATTACTGCAATTGGGACCCACATAAATTCTTCTGATTTATATTCCCATTAAAATGGAAATAATATCCATTTAATAGGATAAGATTATGGGGATTTTTGTGGTGGTATGTTTCCTTGTGTTTTTATTTCTTAATCTGCAATTCTTTATAGCTAAGAGACCTCTAGTAACTTTCCCCCTCTCTGTCCACTCTCCACCTCCCACTCCCAAAGGCCTAGCAGAGACAAAGAATGAGAGACAAAGAATAGTCACTTGGCTACTCTTTGGGCCAACACAAAGTTCTTCAAAGTCTCTTCTTGTTCTTGCTATTCTGCGTTTCCGACCTCTAACATGCTTTATTAATGGCACCAACAATGCCTAGAATGTGACTGCAGAATGAGCTCTAGGGACAGTAACTGTCCTACAGAACGTGTTGCCAGGGTCTTTGTAAAATATTTTCACCCTGACTGATCTCTCAGATGAAGAATAAAATTCAAAGGTCATAGAATTAGCAGCCTTGTGAATAATAAAGAAAGGCCCTAATTTTCAAACTGCAGAGCACTCATCCCATTGAGTGAACTAGCAATTATGCATAATTTTAGGGCTAATTCTTAGGCAGCTTTCATTCATTATTTTGACCGGTCAGTTCAGACTCCGCTTCTGTGCTGACTTCCCCCAAGGAGAAAAAGCAGAGATTCCTTTCATGGGCTCCTTGTGTTTGTCTCTACCTTCCTCTGATCACATAGTAATGTGACAATTTATTTACACATGATTAGACCATAAGCTCCTTCCAGCTTTATAAACCTATTCATTTCTTTAAGTTATTTAACTCTGTAGTCCCAGAGCACAAAGGTATAAAACAAAATGTTCAATTAATAAAACTGTCTTCCATATGAAGACACCTGTTTATTACTGAATTCCCTACACAAAATTCAAGCCCACACAAATTTTAAATTGAGATTTGTTTAGCAAATTCTTCTTGTTTGTTTTTTTGTTTTGTTTTCTTTTGTTTTGAAGCCAAACTTTGTGGTTGTCAGGGCTTCACTCCTGACTCTGAGCTCAGGGATCACTCCTGGCATTGCTCTATGGACCATGTGAGGTGCCTAGAATGGAACCTGGGTCAATCATGTACAAGGCAAGCACGCTGCTCATTGTACTTTTTCCTCCAGTCCCTCTCAGAATATTCAGAATAAATTAGAATGCCATATCTTGCGTGGGGGGCAGGGGAGAAGGGTCACACTCAGTGATGTTCAGAGGTTACTCCTGGCTCTGCACTCAGGAATTAATTCTGGCTTGGGGCACCATATCAAATGCCCAGGACTGTACCTGTGTCAGCTGCATGAAAAGCAAATACCTTAAGTATACTATCTCTGCATCTCCAGAGCCACATCTTGAGAGTGCCACATCTTGATTACATGACACATATCCACCCTGAAAGAGACATGACATCATTCTCTATGCACTCTCCCAGCTCAGTAGTTTCAGATAGCTTCTCCACAGTGGATCCCAAAGTCTTAATGAATAATCTCTGCTTTAGATTAACCTTGATATAACTAAGTATTTACTGAATTTTTTAAAAATAATGGACATAGTACTTTCAGCACCAATGGGGGGGGGGGGGAAATGTATTCTGTAATAGAAACCATTTTCAGTGTTGAGCTATTTCAGATATTAGGAATAAGTAAGAGCTAAGGCCATTCCTCATTGATCTATCCTTAGAGTGGTAAATTTTTGTTGTTATGTAAAAACTACCACCACACAGAGTGACTCAACACAATGAACATTCATTATCTTATATAGTTTTAAGGGTTAATAATGCAGAGGCAGCTTACTGGGTGGATCTGGCTCAGGATCTCTCATAAAGTTTCAGTCAAGTTGACTATCCCCACCCCCGCCCCAGATGAACAGCAATCTTACTAAGACCTTCAGTATCCACTTCCAAGGCAGCTCACTCACACACTTAGCAAGCTGGGGCTAGTTTTTGGAATGAGATTTCTGTCCATCTCCTTGGTGTTACTTGAGTATCCTCACAAGATGGAAGCTGGCTTCACCTGGGAGGGGTGGGGGAAGTAATCCAGTAATCCAAGAGAAATCAAGGCTAAGGCCTACCATGCATTTTTATCTTTGTTTCAAATGTTATAAGGCATCAATTCCACCATATGAAATATGTTAAAAGAGAATTACTGAATCTAATCCACACTCAAAGGAAAGGAACTGGGCTCTGCCTATTGTTAGGAATAGCAAAGAATGTGGTAGCATATTTTTAAACCACCATCGTTATCAGATATACAGTACAATATGTTTAAACATATATAAGATTGGGTACTCAGGTGATGCATTTGTGTAGGTTTTCCTTTAACAGTTAAAATCATCCTGACAATTGGAAAATCACAGTAGGTGGCATAAATAGAAACAAGTGTATACTTTCAATGTCAATTATTGGTTCCCCTCCATTTATTTCAGATCCAGGAAAAAAACGATTCCTGACATTTATATCTGCAATCTGGCTATGGCTGACCTGGTCCACATCATTGGAATGCCTTTTCTTATTCATCAGTGGGCTCGGGGAGGAGAGTGGGTGTTTGGAGGACCTCTGTGCACCATCATCACATCCCTGGATACCTGCAACCAATTTGCTTGTAGTGCCATCATGACGGTAATGAGTGTAGACAGGTAAATGAAAAAACTCTGACAACACTTGACATAATTCACAAGTACCTGAGTTTCCCCAAGATCATCCCAATTTAAGCAATCTCTGTGCCAGTTTGTAAAAAGCAAAGCTCACCTTTTTTTTTGTTTCATTATAGGATACATTTCTTGATATTTTTCCAACTGTTATAATCTATTCTTGGGGGTCACACCAGATGATGTTCATGGGTTACTCCTAGCTCTGCACTTAGAAATCACTCCTAGTGGGGCTTGGGATACCATATGTGGTGCCAGAAATGGAACCTGGGGTGGCCACATGCAGGTAAAAGCCCTTCCCACTGTAGTATTGCTCCAGTCCCTACAGAGTCTATTCTTAGAGGAAAACTAATCACACTAAAGCCTCCTTTTTTCTAAAAATTCTTTTGGATCTTGATTTTATTTACAATGCACTGCAAGGGGGAAAATAATGAAGGCTGGAGAGAGAGAAGTACAGGGGTATAAGGTGCTTAGCTGACTCCAGTTCAGTATCCTACCTCAAGGTATGACCACTGAGCACAGCCAGATGAATGAAAACAATCAACAAAAACCAATCAAGTTATGAAATTTTAGAAAACACAATCTATGTTAATAATAATAACAATCATCATCATCATCATCATCATCATCATCATCATCAATCCCCTATTATTCTGAGATCCAGAAAGGTTAGGGGATTTTAGAAGGCACACAGAGAGTCATTGGCAAACTAAGTGTATTTTCACTCTGTCCTGGACTGTTTCTGCTTCTGTTCACTGTTTCACATACTCTTGTTATAATCTAGGAGTTTTGAGGTATCAATGAAGTAGATATGGGCTCCTATACAGTACAACTTTAATGAAATATGACAGTAAGACCATCTTTATAGTTAATGCAAGTATTTTATGATTGATTAACAACAGTGGTCTTAATGTGCCATAGCTATATTTACCTGCCACGTAAGTTAATGTAATTCAAGATGGTGACAGTAATGGTATTTTTGGAACCAGTGGTAGGAGCACAGTTTAGACTCACACTGCCCAGCTCTAGATACTGCAAATAGCTAGATTCTGTCTCCCCATTTGGCCTCTTTAGAAATATGTAATATAGGGTGCACCCTGCATTGACTTTAAAGACAACAGTAATGAAAAACATGTCCATAATCAATATGCAGAGAACAATCAAGCTGCAACCCAACACACTTGATCCCACTTACTCTAATCTATTATTTCTTTCTCCTTTGCTCAAATATAGTACATACTTTATTTGGTGTAGGAGTGTACTGTGATTGCGTATGCTTTTCCCTATCCACAAGTGTGAATTCTACAAAACAAGGTATTTCATGACTAGTATAACCCACATATCTGTATAACAGTGATTGGCACATGAGAACTAAAAAAAAAACACTGATGAATCAGTAAATAAATGTCTTGGAAGCTGTGTTAAAATTTCCTGTTAACTTCTTCCTGAGTTCTGCCACTTTAATCCTTTCAAGGGGCCTTCAGAATGTGGAATTAATGAGAAGTTCTTCAGGTGGATAAACAAAGGAATAGCAAAGTTTATATAAATCAGTCACTGGATCATATTATTCAAGCATGAATGATGATTATTTAATGTATTTTTAATCCTGATGTTTTTCTAAAATGAGATTCTCAAAGTTCAGAGTATGTTTCTCAATTTATAATTATTTTCCCATATTTAAATCCATGCACTGTGTAGGTATAGTTAGTTAAGTTGGTGTTAGCCAATGTTGACAGTGTCTTGAGAAAACCCGAGTGAACTCACCAAAGCTCCAACACCAGGGAGAGGACCCTGAACCTCCCATTTCTACTTTTTAAAAAAGTAACCTAAATCACAGCCTTACCAACTAATCTCATTCTTGAAGATTATACAAAACTTAAGGGGCCAAAGAGATAGTACAGGGCTTATGGTGCTTGCCTTACATGTGGCCAATCACAGTTCAATGCCCAGTACCATATATGGTCCTGAGTATCACCAGTAGTAATCCCTGAGCACAGAGCATAGAGTAATCCCTAAGCACTGCCAGGTGTGACCCCATACCCAGAAATAAAATAAAACTCTATACTTTGTACCTTGAAGGAAGGAACGTATTGACTTTTTTAAAAAGAGGGTAAATTGTGCTTCTTCTGTAAATCTCTAACTGCAAATAAACTAAATATACATGCATAATTTGTCTTGCAACAGATGAACTCAAGATTCACCTGGCTGTGTCTGTGTGTCTTAACATATGTATCTTGCACACCTGAATATCACTTTCCTTGTTTTTGTTACTCTGATTGAAAAAGAATGCTAAGCTTATGCTTAATAATTAAATCACTCAGGTTCTTTTCCTTGATCGTGGATCAAGTATCCAGTGACAAATTAAGAGTCTGTAAAACTGAAACTTTCTCTTCTGCATTTTCTATAATCATAGCTTTATTAAATTAATTAAAATTCAACAAAAAATCTGAAATTTCATAAAACATAAATAGGCTTTCCTTTCAATCCTATAACCAAATGTCCATTCTCTCAGTATTACTTATCGTTTATACATTAAAAGCATTTCAGTTGCCAATTTAAATATTCATAACTCAAATGTTTCCAAAATTCCCTAATTGTTCTCTTTAGTTAATATTACTAGATGAGTGTATACATTTTAATTGTTGGTAACTGCCTAAAAAGCAATGTGAAAATTTTGTGTGCATACAAATCCAAAGAACTTTTTCCTTCAAATTAAAGCTACCCAGAATACCATAAGTGATTACTTTTATAAACAGATTCTCTATTGTCAATAATTAGAAATTAAAATTCCATATTCATTTTATGTTGTTGCTGTTCATCCATTCAATAAATATAACCTAAGCACAGAATATATGCCAAGAATTATGCTGGATGCAGGTGACACAACAGAATCAAATTACTAGTCTGGATTTCTGTCCTTGTGAAACTTCCAGTCTAGAGGTATAAACAGTAATTGACAAGTGTATATTGCCACATAATTACCCACTGTATAAAATCCAAGGGCAGCCAGGGAGAGGCCCCATTGGCTCTTCCCCTAGCCGCCTGCGTTCGAGTGGGCCTGTCCCCCAGCTGGGGCAGCCCCGGCCATGGGACAGACGGTGGAGGAAACGAGGGCCAAGTCAGTTGATCAGATGCCATTTATTCCATTCTCCCCACATGCCTGCCCCAGTCTCTCTGAGCCCCGCATTCTAGTCTCACACTGCCCCTCACTCCTGTCTCCTCCTGTCTCTCCCGCTCATCTCTCTGCACTCCCTCCTGCAGCCTGGGCTCTCTCTCTCTCCACGTGCCTGCTCCTGTATTCTTCTATGTTCTTCTCTCTCTATTCCCCTTGCTAGTCTCTCCACACTGCATCTTGTACCCTGACAGCCCTCTCATCTTTCCTCTCTCTTGTCTTTCCACCACCCCCAACCCCCCCACCCTAACCCCCCATTCTCTACACTGCACCCAGTCTGGTAGCAAAATCAACATAAGAAAGCCCTTCCTGAGGGCCCACCAGGTTCAAGGGAGGCAGGCAGAAACATCACAATCACATCACCTAGGGGTATTCCAAAGCTCTCCAGGCTGCCCAAGGGCAAAAGATGTTTTTCTCCTTTCCTCAGTCCAATAACTCTATCAACATCTTAACACTAGTTATTTTTGTATGGACACAGTAAAAGATAAATTAAGGCTTGTAGGGCAGCTCTCCTGGGAACATCTTGCCAGAGATTCAGACTACAGTGCTCAGGCCAGATTAACCATTCCTAACCCTAGCAGGGTCCGAATCTAGCTGTTACTTTTTGGATCATGACAGCATTTGTCCATGACCAAGCTCTTAACTTATAGTTAAGCATTATGGCACTTTGACCAGGCCCATTTCGATGCCAGGGTAGCACATAGCTTACCGCTTGACCTAGTTCCATCCAGTCCCTCATTGGGACCCTGCTTTTGGGGGTGCTAGGAGTAAGGGCAGCTGAGGCTTAGGTCAAAAGAACAGATGCCCAGGAGGAAAATAACACTGAGAGTCAATAAACTCCCACCTTACAAAAGCATAGCATTTACTGTCTTCTTGTGTCCATACAAAAAAAGTTTATTCATTGCTCTGAATAAACTATGCAAAGGACTACAGAGAAGAGAAAAACAATATTTACAAGTCAACAGAGCACAAAGTAAGAACTTTACAAATAAACACAGAGGAATGGGAGTACTGGGATGGGAGCAACCCAATAAGCTTAAACTACTTGAGACTATGCAGGGAGGACAAAACAATGTTATCTCACAATCCACACACTCCCTTGGAAGGAAAAGTAGATCTCTCCTACCACCTACACTTAAAGGCATCTGCATACAGCATGGATGATCAAGGGAGGTTTCTCTGATGAGGAGACAGATAAGGACTCAAAGAAAGAACAGAAACAACAGAAATAATCCTCCCAACCAGGTAGAACAGCATGACTAGTCCTGAAAGTGGGAAAAGCTTGAAGGAGAATCAGAAAAAGATTGGCACAATCTACCAGGTGGTAGGGAGAACAAGATAGAAAAAGACTTTGTGAAAATTCATGGCAAGAATTTTCACATTAATCTAAATCTATGGAGAGCTCTCACTGTGGATATTTCAGAGAAGATTCCCTAATCAACACCATGTCTTTATCACCCTTTAATCCCTGAAAGAGTGATAGCTGGGTTGCTCTATGACCTCTACCTCATCCCCTTTCCCAGCAGGGAAGGAAGGGAACATTGGCCCTTTAGCACAGGTAACAAAGGTGCATTGTGCAGGAGGCTAGTGACTGAATAGCCCATCCATAGTCCCTCTCCTGCATGCTAAGGTATCTCTCAACTGAGCGCTAACCATGTCTCTTGTCAAAACTGAAAGAGCAAGGAGACAGAGACATTTTCAGTGTTGTGAATTTTCATTGTTTTAAACGGATAAAATGAACAACCATCACAACCATTTTTTATATTTAGTTCATTTCTATGAATATCATCTGCCCCCCTCCCCCACCTTACCCTCAACGGCTTTCTCATGAATCTGAGCTATTTATTTTCATCTTTTAACTTTCAGTTGAATCTGAAAAATTCCTCTAAGATATTTTGCCAGAGGCAAAATACATTTTATTTGTCAGGTTTTCAAGTTTAATTAATGACTATCCCTTTTGCTCAGTCTAAAAGGGAAGGGGGCTGGGGGAAGCTGTGGTTTCTGTGAACTGAATCTTCAAGGGCTTGGGGATTCTAATACCAAGTCAGCTGAGCTGAATGTCGGTGCCACAGGTCTGAACCTCATCCATTTGGGGGATTTGCCTACCAACAGAGTACTTTCCTCCTGCCTGCCTGGACACCGGCTAGCCCTACTGAGAAAAGGGCCTTTCACTCCCAGGAGAAATTCATATTCAGAGACATTTTTCAAAGCCTAACACCTTTGTAAAGAAAGAGGTTGCATGGCAGAGTCATTACCAGCATGGTCCTGAAAGGGACAGTTATTTATGTTAGTTTTTTATTCAGACTTGCAGAATCAAGAATTGCTTTTTCTACAGTTAACAGTCAACTCTTTAAAAGAAAAAAAGCATGACTTTCTTCTTTCCCTGATAGAGGCATGCTTCATGAAGGATAATGATACTAATAATTTACTCTTGTCATGAGCCTTTCCTCTTTGGAGCTCATCGCTTTTATTGATGGCTTTACAGGTACTTGGCTCTCGTCCAACCATTTCGACTTACAAGTTGGAGAACGAGGTGCAAAACCATCCGCATCAATTTGGGCCTTTGGGCAGCTTCCTTCATTCTGGCAATGCCTGTCTGGGTCTATTCAAAGGTCATCAAATTTAAAGACGGCGTTGAGAGTTGTGCTTTTGATTTAACATCTCCTGATGACGTACTCTGGTAGGTTGTTAAAGCTTAAGAAAAATGGAGTTGAATTAAGTTATGAAGTGCTTCATCCTCCTTGTCAACACATGACCAGCCGTACAGAGTATCCTTGGGCACACTCATCTGGACAGAACTCCCAGTTTAATGCTCTGCTTTTCACAGTCAAGTTGAAAATTTGATTTTAAGGAGATATCAGTCTTTTGCGGAAAAAAAATTGAGTTTGCTCATGTAACCTCAGAGGGCACAAACCTATTTAAATACTGATATTTTAAGAACTGTGTTATTCAGATGCAGCAGGAACACAGGAGTCAAGGAAGGAGCAATAAGAAATTCTAGTGAATTGGTAGATGGACACTCAAATTATCTGAAAAGTTTCATATATGTCATATGGGATCATCTAATATTCTCAGTTATATTTTTTAGTGATTGTACATGCTGTGCTATCACTCCAGCTCTGTTTACATGTATATAAAAATGTGTCTTTGCAGATATAATAGAGATGACATCATACTGGGTGCAAGTGAGCCCTAAATTCAATGATTAGAATATGTTCTTATAATAAGTAAAGAGAGAATTTTTTATGAGAATTTCTTATTGCTGAAAAATAACAGAAAAAGTTCGTAAATATACTTCGGCTTTAAGTAAACTTTGAAATCATACATCACTGTATCACTGTCATCCTGTTGTCGATTTACTCAAGTGGGCGCCAGTAACGTCCCTATTCATCCCTGCCCTGAGATTTTAGCAGCCTCTCCTTACTCGTCTTTCCCAATGACTGGAAGCTCTTTCAGAAATCATGCATAATAAGATAAAATGTAGATCTGTTATTTTAAGGATTTCCTGGAGGTTCTCAGAGACAGTGATTAGCTTCTGTCCTGATAACCAGGAGCTTGATCAACTATGTCTGAAATAGACATAAATTAATATGGGGCTAATCTCTTTAAAAAGTGAGTACAGGGGCTGGAGCTATAGCACAGCGGACAGGGCATTTGCCTTGCACACAGCCTACCCGGGTTCAGTTCCCAGCATCTGATATGGACCCCTGAGATCCGCCAGGAGTTAATTCCTGAGTGCGTGAGCCAGGAGAAACCCCTGTGCATTGCCGGGTGTGACCCAATAAGTAAAAAAAAAAAAAAAAAAAAAAAGTGAGTACAAACTGATGCTCTTTCTTTGACTTTATGACTTTGATCTGTGTCAAAGAAACAGTTTTGTTTGTTTCAACAGTTTTTGCTGCTATTTTGTGTACTTATTATCAAGGAAATTCTGAAGTTTCTGCCCCTGTCCTTCCTTCTAGAATTAAGTTCTTACTGTGAGCCAAGACTAGAATCTTTGGTAGCAATCTGTCTTTTTAGTCCAGGTGTGTTCTTTCACTGTCCTGATGTCAGTTGAACTGTCTTCATTCATCAGCATAAGTTTTTCAACTAGAAAAAAAGAATGATACCTAGTATCTACAGAAATGAGTCAGGTCACCTGAAAATTGCCCCTACAAGAAGCACTCAGGGAAAGACTGGCTGATTTTATAATAGGTTTCCCTACATGCCATTGAAAGGCCCGTTGGGGACTTTGTTATAAATATGAATTCTGGAGCTGGACTGACTACTGTCTTCAAACTCCAATTCTTTGACTTATTAGCTGAGTGCCTTGAACAAATCACTTACCCTTCTATTCCTTCTGCAATGGTTTAAAATATGTAAAGTACTTAGAAAAGTGTCAGCTATATAATAAATACTACTTGGTATTGTCTGTTATTAATAACACAACACAAAGTATAGTGATACTCATTCCAGAGAAATTTAAGTCAAAATAATAATGAAATTTTATATCACACCAATGATATTAGCTTAGATATTAAAATATCTGTGGAAGCAACCAGTATTGGTGGGGAAGTGAGAAAATGAAAACTTCATCCACTGTTGGTAAGAATGTTGTCTGGTTAAATCTCTATGGAAAACAGTAAAGATGACATCTTGAAAAACTGAGCATCTTGAAGAACTGAGCTTCCAAATGACCCCGCAATTCCACTTCTTAGCCTCTACCTCAAGAGCTCAAAAATAATATTTCAATAAGTTACTTCCATTCCTATGTTCATAGCACCCAAGATTTGGCAACAACTTAAGTGCCCAAGAACTGGTATATATACATAATGCAATATGACTCATCTCTAAGAAAAGATGAAATCATGCAACTTGCTGCTACATGAATGGAAATAGTGGATGTCATGTTGAGTAAAATTATTCAGAAGGAGAGGGACAGACACAGAATGATCTCTCCCATATGTGAAATATAAGAAACATAGTAAGGGGATAACAAATGGCCAATGGTAAAAGACCTGAGAATTGGCACCTACAGTTCTTAATACCAAGAGGGTGGGATAAGGGGTAGAAAAGGACCTTGAGACATTCGTGGAGGGATGCTGACATTCTGGTGGCTTGTCTTGTTGAAATACTGTGTGCCTAAAATTCTATAGCTAACAGTATTGTAAATAATGGTGCCTAAAAATTGAGAAAATATAAATGCATCCATATACATGATATTAAGTATCTACACCTTGTTAATGGAAGCATTTGGCTTTAGTTAAGAAAGATACAACTATTGGTAGACAATAAAGAACAGATTTTTTTTTTTTTTTTGCTTTTTGGGTCACACCCGGCGATGCTCAGGACTGACTCCTGGCTCTGCACTCAGGAATCACTCCTGGCGGTGCTCAGAGGACCATATGGGATGCTGGGAATCAAACCTGGGTCGGCCATATACAAGGCAAATGCCCTACCCGCTGTGCTATTGCTCCAGCCCAAGAACAAAATAATTTTTATGTAAAAGGACTTCCAAAACGCTAAATTTTCCCCCAAGAAGTTTTTAACTAAGGCCCTTAAAAGTGAGAGAATTTTGCCTTATAAACTATAGATGATGATACCTAGCATAATAAATGTAATAGTTATATCTTATCTCTTTCTCCCCTTACAGGTATACACTTTATTTGACAATAACAACATTTTTTTTCCCTTTACCCTTGATCTTGGTGTGTTATATTTTAATTTTATGTTATACTTGGGAGATGTTTCAACAGAATAAAAATGCGAGATGGTAAGTGTTTGCATTATTTTGCCTTATTTTTTAAAAAAACAATTCTGAGATACTAAGGCATCTACAACTGAAACTTAAGCAACAATCATTTGAATGTTCCACTTAGATAAAGATACGTCTACCTAAGCATGTTTTGAAGAAGCTGACTGAGGGTCTCTCCATAAAAAATGTCTAAATCACTGATATAATGGCTTAATTATAATGTTAATAGAACTCAATGTTCTATTTAAAGAATAGTTTTGTATGTTATCAATATATTATTTTTATGTACACCTTTCAGAACTTATGCAGACTTAAACATTACAAATGTTATATAAAACATAAGTTTGCCTTTTAGTTTTTCAATTGAGGTAATTATCCCATTAATACTTGAAAACATAAGACAAGATTAATCAGAACTAAATGAAGCCAAAGACTTACCTTACAATAAGTCTGAGAACTTTCAAAGATATTCATCTCTAACACTGTAGCACTGTTCTCCTGTTGTTCACTGATTTGCTCAATCGGACCCAGTAAAGTCTCCATTGTGAGACTTGTTGTTACTATGTTTGGCATATCTAATATGTCACGGGTAGCTTGCCAGGCTTTGCCATGCGGACGAAATACTCTCAGTAGCTTTTACTTCACAAATAAACTTAAAGTAATTTCTTCTCAAAATTGTATATATATAATTATACAACTGACCATCAGTGATTATATAACATGTTAAATTAAAAAATCATTAAGGGGCCAGAGAGATAGTGCACTTGCCTTACAATTCAGTGACGCAGTTTGAATCCCCAGATGCCACATGTTGTTTCCCAAACACCAGGGTTCACTCCTGAGCAGAGATCCAGAAATAGCCCCTAAGTACCATGGAGCAGTACCCTCACCTCCCCAACTCACTGCAAAAAAACAAACAAAAAAAATCATTATTTAGAAATGGAGAGGGAAGGGGTTAGGGCTCATACTTGGCCCAACACCACATGGCCTTCTGAGCTGTGAATGGTCCTGCAAGCCCCCAAATATGTGCCCACCAGGGTAATTCCTAGGTAATTCCCAGCACCACAGGGCCAGAGCAGAGCTGTATCCTCATGCCCTTGGACTAAACCAACTGTCTGCTTGACCAGGTATCACTGGAAAAGGCCCCCAGGTCTTCCTGAAAAACATGAAAATTTTGTTTTGGAATAAATTATAGTATTCCTTTGGAAAGATAAGACTCCTGCATTTCCTCCCACACCATATGAAACACTAAATTCTTTTTAAAGGCTATAACAATGTAATTTGGCTTTTCCAAATGTGTGCAATCCAAAGGTGTAGGTGATCCAAGATTTTTTTTCTTTTTTTTCTTTCTTTTTTTTTTTTTTGAGGTGGGGTGTTTTGACTATACCCTAGGATACGAACAGGTTACTCCCTCAGGAATTCCTCTTGATGGGCTCCAGGGGACCACATGTGGTGACCAGGATGGCCATATGCAAGGCAAGCACCCTACCCACTGTACTATCTCTCTGGCACCCAGTTTAGGTGATCTAATATCTATGTCTTCCTACTTAGTCTCTTAAAATTCTTTGGAAGTTTTACATAGTGAAGAATGTTCTACTTAGAATAGAAAAGCCACAGTTAGGGGATGGAGGGAGGAGTCAGGAATTATCTTCTAAATATATGAAATGGGGCTAAGCTGGTGAGAACATTGAAATGGAAGGACACTGACATTGAAATTTGAAATCTGAAGACACTGACAGCAGTTGAAGAATGTATGAGCCTTTTATTTCACTTCCCAGTGGTGCTTGTCCTGACACTGCATGCCTAACCCTGATACCTAAACCTGGTGGTGACACACTCATGGGCCATTCCAGCGGTACTGCTCAGGGGCCACTGGACCACACCTGTCAGTGTTCAGGGGTCTATCAGGTCCTGGTGAATTGTAGCCTCCATATGCAAGACATGTGTTCTACCACTTAAGCTCTCCCTGGTCCTGTTTGAACCCCATAAAAACGTAGTTCTTCAAATAAGATAATATTGTTCCTAACCTTCCCTCAGCAATATTAAATGCTTATTATAATACAAAACTCATTCTAAAGCTGAAGTAATAGTACAGAGGGTAGAGTACTTGCCTTGCACACAGCTGACCTGGGTTCAATCCCCAGTATTCCATAACGTCCCCTGAGCACTTCAAGGAGTAACTTCTGAATACAGAGTTAGGAGAAGATCCTGAGTATCACTGGGTGACGCCCACCTGAAAAAGACAAAGCTCATTCTGTCCATTTATTCTCAGAATGCAAAAAGACAGAGGAATGGTGGTGACTAAACCAATGTATTGCAGAGGAATCACCGTCTTAGATGATTTTCCATTGCTGTGTTTTTTCTGGGTTTTGTTTCATATTATTTTCATTGCATATTCATTTTCTTCCACCATGCCTCAGGGAAATGTCTGTTCAATATCTAAATTTTATATAATACAATTTTTAATTTAATTTTTTATTATAAATGATTTTTAATTTGCATAGAAGATGCAAAGGTAACACATAGAATTCTATTATATTCCAGATTCCCTTTACATGTTTTCTGCAGCACTGTAGCACTGTCTTTCCATTGTTCCTCAACTTGCTTGAGGGGGCACCAGTAATGTGTCCATTGTGAGACTTGTTGTTACTGTTTTTGGCATAGCAAATACGTCACAGGTAGCTTGCCAGCTCTGCCGTGCGGGTGGGATACTCTCAGTAGCTTGCTGGGCTCTCCGAGAGGGGCGGAGAAATTGACAGGGTTGGCCACGTGCAAGGCAAACGCGCTATCTACTGTGTTATTGCTCCAGCCCTTCCATGTTTGCTACATTTGTCAAAACATACAAACAAAAAAATAGCATTAGTATCTTTGGATACCATTATCTTTCCCAGTAAATTTTCCTCTCTATTCCAGGATTCAATTGAGGATGACACATCTTTCTTAGTTGTAATGACTCCCAGTTCTTGCAATGGCTTTTCATTCTTTCCCTTTTTTTATGACCTTGTGTCACTTAAGAAGTGCTGCTCAAGAGTCAAGCAAGATGCCCCAGTCTGGGTTTTGCTGATATTATATCGTGATTAGACACATGAGTGGTTACCTGGATTTGGGAAAAGTCAGCTCTTCTCATTTATCAAGGGTACATGATTACATCCTTGTTGATGTTAGCCTGATCACATGGTTATCCCTTTCTCTATTCCATCCTTTAAAGGTGACTCACTAATTATAGTTCACTCCCTCCAAAAGAAGAAGTGGAGGGAAGGGTGGGGGGAGATGCAGGAATTAGCCCTACCCCCTCGGAAGGAGAATATACTTCTATATTATTTAGAACTCTTTTTTATTGGGGAAAGAGATGGGCATATTCAGCAGCCCTCAGGGCCTACTCCCCCAGGAGTAATCTCTGGTGGTGCTTAGGAGACCTATCCTGCTTAACCACTGTGCAATCTCTCCAGCCCCATTATTTGGAATTTTTATGTTTAAAAAAAGTTTATCTTTTCCCCCTTAGTTTTATTTAACATTTATTTATATCATCACATAGTCATGTGTTTTTGCTTTATCATTATATACCCATGTTTGTTTACATTATGCTTTCATTTATAATTCAGAAGTATGTCACTCTTTTTCTCAAAATATTTCAGCCTTTGAAAATCTGGGAAATTGTTAAAGGAATGAAAAAGTATCTTTTCACAATTTTCTGAATAAATAGAAATAAAAATGAGTACTAAATTCCAGAACATAGTCATTATGAACTATCAAAGAAATTGTAAGACATTATGATTTAAAAATTTCTATGGTGTTTATGCTCTATCTGAATATTCCTTTGCAGTTACAATTCCAGTGTTCCCAGACAGAGAGTGATGAAGTTAACAAAGATGGTGTTGGTGTTGGTGGCAGTCTTTATCCTAAGTGCTGCCCCTTATCATGTGATACAACTGGTGAACTTACAGATGGAGCATCCCACACTGGCTTTCTATGTGGGTTATTATCTTTCCATCTGTCTCAGCTATGCAAGCAGCAGCATCAACCCTTTTCTCTACATCCTGCTGAGTGGAAATTTCCGGAAACGTCTACCTCAAGTTCAAAGAAGAGTGACAGAAAAAGAAATCCACTATATGTAATGTTTCAAGAAAACATCCTAAAATCAAGCTTTTAAAAAATGCATGGATTAAGTGAGTCTGAATGGGCTTGTCCATGTTCTCAGTATGATTAGAAAATGCAAGTGAAACAATAAACACTTTCATGTGTACTTGTGACTCTTGGGAGAGTGATGCAGAAGAGCAACCATTCAAATAAAATAGATTAAATACATTAACTTTAGTAAAATGTAAAAGGATAATCTATTTAGGAGTTGATAGTGAATAGCCTAAGGTATCTAAACTCCATGACTGTTCATTATAATTTCAGTATATCATAATAACCATGAACAAACCATGAGCAATCAATTAACAGTTTACCAAGAAAACTGATCTCACTGCAAACAATGCCCTCCAGGTTCCTAGAAAAGAACCACCTTACATTTAGATCTGATATTTGGCTTTTTGTTATCTATGAAAATGTCAATTTTACATAGTTCAGTCTTATGACTTCAATAACCTGTCTTACATTTTTGCATAACAATCATATAAATTGAAGACATAAATGTAACAACCTTTTGGGGTAAGGTCTATCCTGTTTTGATGAAAAGGAAGGTAATGATTTACTGCTTCAGAATCATGATCTGGGTTGGGCACAACCAACTCTCTTTGGTTCAGTACCACTTGTAATCTATTTATCAGACTGGAGAGAGGCAACAATTTGGTTTGTTGTTTTTGAGAGGATTTGTGTTGTATATTTTCTTCTCTGTTGTTATTTCTGCTTTCTCCTACAATCTCCCCCATCACCACCACTATGGAAAAAAAAACAATCTCAGAAATTAATGAGTTGATGGTTTAAGAATATTCTTTTGTTTTCAGCTTTTACCCATGCCTATGAATTATAGCTACCAGTATCTACTTTATAATGATAGGATTCTTAACTGCAGGACATTAAAGCTCACTTAGACACATTCCCTTTAAGTCATAGCATATATTTGTTTATGCTACTAAAAAAGCAACTAGTTTTCAGCTCATAGATACTCATTATACTTATCTTTTGGCATGTATAGAACATGTACTTTAGTAGAATTAAGAAAATGTTTTCAAAACCTGTGTTTTCAACAAAGGTTAATACTGTAATTTTGTTTGTGGATAAAATCTGCATACCCACCTCTTTAACTTAAGTACATAAAATCATGTGTTCCACGAACATGTGAAACTAACTTTTGTATTTGAAAAATCATGTTTTCTTTTTTAATAGTACTAATTCAAAGTAAAGCTTTCAAAATAAGCTGAATATAAGAAAGTTCCAAAATTTGCCAAGTTCCAACTATGTCTCCCAACTTTGCTTTTGAAATCCCATATTGCATCCTTCCATATATACATAAGTTTAAAGAGGTAGTTTCTGGATCTAATATTGTAAGGCAGTCTACAATAGCTTTTTAAATTTTTTTTGTAATATTAATTTTCACATTTTAAGTACGCTTGCTCTTTAACAGGCAAACTAGAATTGTGAAGTTTTAAAAATATTTTGTTTTATTTTGTTCCCTGATATATAATACTGTTAGTGGTAGGGTTTTCATGCATAAATATTCTAGCACCACACCCTCCACAAGATGTCTGCTTCCCTTCATCAATATCTTAGAGTACCACCTCCCCCCCACCAAAACCTTCACTCTAACCCCCATGCCCAGTTCTGTAGCCCAGTTTTCATGCTCTGTTGCCTTTGGCCATTTTTTATTCCTTACTATGTTTCAATATATCCCACAAACAAAAGAGATCGTTATGTATTTGAAACTGATTTTTAGTCAGTCTCATATAAAAGTCACAGATATCAGCTCTATTTTTAAACAACTTGACCTTCTTTTTTTGTTTGTCATATGGTTTTTTGGTATTTTTTTTCCTGTTCCATAGCCAGTGATGCTTAGGGGCTACTCCTGGCTCTACATTCAGGAATCATTCCTGGCAGTGCTTGGAGGACCATATGGAATGCTGAGATCAAACCCAGGTTGGCCACATGCAAGGCAAGCACTCTACCCGCTGTACAATCACTCCAGATCCCTGATCTCCATTTTTATATCTCAACTATATTTGATAAACAAAGAAACATTTGATTCTAAATCTTTCATAGAAAATTTTGAAACAAGGTAATATTTAAATGTAGGGCTGGAGCGATAGCACAGCGGGTAGGGCGTTCGCCTTACAAGCGGCCAACATGGCCAACCCGAGTTCGATTCCTCCGCCCCTCTCGGAGAGCCCGGCAAGCTACCGAGAGTATCTCGCCCACATGGCAGAGCCTGGCAAGCTCCCCATGACGAATTCGATATGCCAGACACAGTAACAACAAAGTCTCCAATGGAGACGTTACTGGGCCCGCTCGAGCAAATCGACGATCAACGGGAGGGAAAATAATAATGTTTAGATGAATGGTTGTGTAAACACATGAGAAATACGAATTGAGATAGGTCACTTTTGAGATATTTTACTTCTGAACTTGAGTCCTGGATGAGGCTGGATAATCCTTTATTTTTTTTCCTTTGGGGACACAGCTGGCAATGCTCAGAAGTTACTCCTGGTTCTGCATTCAGGAATTATTCCTGGCAGTGCTCAGGTCGACTGCATACAAGACAAACCCTCTACTCTCTACTATCGCTCTGGCCCCAATTTTAATCTAAAACAGTGTCATAGCTATAATTTCAAGGGAATTCATTATTTTTTTCCTAAGCCAGGGTTTAGTATGTAACCTGATCCAAATACCCAACACAATGGATAACTAACAGATGTAATGATTGATAATTGGCAAGAAAGGTATGCTTACCTCCATTGTCTTTTTTAAATATTGAAAATAATATGATTTAAATGGTTTTAAAACCAGCATTCTAATATTCCAATATAACAGGTCAGTAAACTAATTTATATTTTAAATTTTAAATCAAAGTAAAAAATAAAAATGGTGACTATCAATTCATTTTTGTGCCTTTAAATAGTTCTTTATGTGTAAGAATTTTATACGTAGATTTGCAGAGGTGGTTTGATAGAGATTCCCTACATGTTTTATATATTTGTCAATAGTATATATGCATTTACTTTCACTAGTATGCATGCATTATAGTATATAGTTAACAGATCTAAATAATAGTTGAATATTTCTCATCATGTAAAATCATGATGATATCTCTTCTCTGTGCTCATTCAATTTCAGATTCCTCACTAAAACCATGATCACTGAGTAATACAAAACAATGAATAAAAATTGTTTGTGTACTGATTTACTTTGGGCTTATGGCTTCTACCCTTTAACTTTCCTTAAAGTTTTCTTATCTTTTCCTCAGAGAACCTGGCAAGCTACTGAGAGTATCCTGCCCTCATGACAAAGTCTGGCAAGCTCTGCATGGTGTATTCAATATGCCAAAACCCAGTAACAATGATGGGTCTCATTCCCCTGACCCTGAAAGAGCCTCCAATATGGCACTTGCTAAAATCTCAGGGTTAGGATGAATGGAGATGTTACTGGTGCCTGCTCAAGGAAATCGATGAACAATGGGATGACAGTGATACAGTGATACAGTGATCTTTTCCTAATGTAGTTTCTCCTAAACAAAGAACAGATCTTTTTTAAAAAAAATTTTTATTGAATCACTGTGGGATACAGTTACAAAGCTTTCATGTTTGAGTTTCAGTCATACAATGATTGAACACCCATCTCTCCACCAGTACACATTTACCACCACCAGTGGCCCCAGTATCCCCCCCAATCCTAACCCTCCCCCTGCCTCTATGGCAGACAATTTCCCCTATACTCTCTCTACTTTTGGGCATTATAATTTTCAATACAGATTTCAAAATTAGTAAACTATGTACTAAATATGGCTAATAGTCTGAAGGTACTCTATCACACATTCTCAGGAATCTACTTATATTACATTTAAAGCCATTATATCACTATGAAATCACAAGGATCATAGAATCTTGAACATGAAATACACTATAGAGATTATCAAATTTTGCAGAGGAGAAATATGAAGTCCAGACAGATCAAACCATTTTTAATCACAGTGCTACATGTATCCAGTGACCTGAACCTACTGATCAGCTAAAAACAACCCTGAATTCTTTCCATAAAATAATAGTTCCTTCCCTGTGACACAGTCAGAAATAACTAACAAAAGAATTGCTTTTGTCATTTAATCTCCATAACAAAGAGTTTAATGAGTAAATTATAATTTTATGATTGTTTCCAAAATTGTCAAATTAGAACCAAGATCAGGCTCAACAATCAAGGACATGCCTCACATGTGTGAAGTCATGGATTCAATCCCTATCACTGAAAGAGAACAAATATATAATTAAAGAAATAATTATTATTCAAAATTTGGAGGGATTTATTTTCAGAATAGCAGAGATTAATTTAAAAGCACAGAGTTCTCTGAAACAAGGCTAAAGTAAAGTTTAAAATATTTAGACCAGAGATGTAGCTTATATCTAGAGCATAAGCTTTGCATGTATGAGACCTTGGGTTTGACCACTGGCACACACATATGCACCTATATAGGCACATAAAGTTAGTGCTATCTAACTTAAATTAATAATATTTTCTTTTACTTTATATTACTTTAATATTTTCTATTTTGTTGAATATGTTTAATAAGTACTTTTGATTTCAATTCTTTATACCAAGAGTTTATTCTGCCAAGATCTCCTCCCTAATAAAGCTGGGGAAAACATGATAGCCATAATGCATTTATTACTTCATTTCAGCTGAGACAGCATTAACTTGTTTCATTTGCCCTTTTAGAAACTGGATCCAAATCAACTAAAGTCCATTCAAAAGAATCTTGATTTCTACTCTTGTTATCTCGATGTCTGCTGTTTTTACAGTTACTATTTAATACATGTTTACAAAACACTATGCTTCCAAGGCACTATGCTAGACTCCACTGGAAAATGCTGCCTAAGAAATCACCCAATCTCAAAAACTGAAAACATAAAGTCACCTTTGTTTCCTGTAAATTAATTATACATATGTGAATGAACCAGAGCATAACCTACAATGATTTATCAATTCTAAAAATAAAGATTATAATGTGCACCATTAATTTAACAACTGAGTTTGCAAAACAAAAAAATTTAATTAACTGTACTAATTCAGAAACCCTAATGTGGAAAATGTACACCACAGAATTGAGAAAATAAAACAATATCAACACCTCATGCATGCATCTTCTAAACTGAAATATATTAATCTCAATT